TGGCATGGTTTCTCACACAGCAAGGGAGTTGTTAGGCGCATGTTACATGCTCACCATTTGAGTTGCTAGGTGGAGCAAGTTGAAACACGTATGTGACATGTAGAGCTTTTTGACTGCAACCCTTTATAATGTCATGTGAACCTGATGCCCAGGACGCAACGCCAGCTCCAGCTGTCGAATGGGGAGATGGAGGCGAGGATTGCGATGGGAAAGTGTGATGCGCTTTGACGTTTCTTTTGCACGCGCGTGAGTTGGTCGAGCCTTTCTAACGCAAGTCATAGGACATGGTGGCCAATTTGGACAAGGTTCATGTATATTCTTCAAGATTTCTCCAAGGGAGCAATGAGTCCAATGAGTCTAGGATCTCGTGTTGAACAGTTGTTTCAAGTCGCTTAGTCCGCAGACGGATGGCTCGGGATGTGTTCTTACATTGCTTGTATTTACATGCCACACACACATTCACTATACCTGTCACACACACTTTTTGTTTTTCCCCTATGGGGGGGTTCAATGATCAATGTCAATGATCAATGCGCTGTTGCCCGGCTGGAGGCTGTGGCAAACCGTGCCTATAATGTATGATACGATTGTTTATTTGTTTATATAAATGGTTACGCGCAACCATGCTTCACCACTCATCCATCCATAACCAAACACATAACCATCCATCCAAGCACCCATCCATCCAACCATCCATCCATCCATAATAACCACAATCCATAGTCAAACAAACATATGACCTTTTAGAGCCAAATGTAGCATCAAACCAGACAAACAACACCGTGTGTTTCTTTACATTTTCCTGTGGCGCGCGCGCCGTTGGATGAGCGGCTGGCAGAAGTGGCAGCGTTCGACTTGCTGGCGCGGCGCCTGGTGGAAGGACGAGGCCGAGGACGAGGCCGAGGACGAGACTTGGGGCCAGTGGTCATCAATCAAGATGGACTCTCGCCAAATAATGTTTGCGCAGTCTTGTGGCCTCTTGAACCTTATAGTGGTAATTTGTTGGAAGGGCCACTAAACCGTTTGTTTGTCGTGGCCAATCATTTGTATGCAGTTAGGAGGGCGATGACAACTTTGCAGAGCACGAGCACCAGCATTTCACCCATGAGGAGCAAAACGAACCAGACGCAGAGCTCGAGGCGGAGATGCTGGATGAGAATGATGAGACGGAGGCCACTGAGCCTTTAGAGGAGCCTCATGAAGAGGAGCGGGAGGAGCAGCCGCACTATGATGATGGGCTAGATGATGAGCAGGAATATGAGAAGCCGGAGGGGCCCGAAGCTCCCTATGAGGACGACGATGGGGACAGCGATACCGAAGTGCTCCTCACATGGTCCAAGGACAAGCGTGGGAACTACATACAGCACGAGAAGAGGGTGAAGCGTGAGCCCCAGGTCGAGGAGCACAAGCCCCCGATCGAGAAGGTCGAGCACGAGATGTCCTGGGGCAGCTGGAGCTGGGAACCTTGCGCAACATTTATTATATTGCTTTATTTTGACATGTTTGACTGATTGTTTTGCAAGTGAAATAAACTATAATTACGGCCTTAACCTGTCTGATGATTGTATAAAGGCATTCACTTCAATACTTGCTTGTCTCAGGCTGCTGCTTGCCAGAGGACGCCGTCATCATGGCCCACCCACCCTCCGAAGCCGCCGCCAGCACCCAAGGCGAGACCCGTGCCGCCTGCACCTCCACCGGAGCCTCCTGCGCCGCCGCGGCGTGTGGCGCAAGAGCCTCCTTATCCTCCGCCGGCGAAGGAGGGGCCTTTATCCTTTGCGTGTTGAATGCTCTCAATCTTATTTCGACACATAGCTAGTCTTGAAGTCTCATGTATTACATAATCGTGTTGTAGCTTGGAGCATGAGTTTCTTTTGGTCAGTATACCCTGCAGGAAGCTGCATCGGCCCTTCCACATGAGGATTGGAAAGGAGTCCTTTGGCATCAGGGAAAAAAAGAACAATTCCTCGGAAACGGAAAGGTGAAGGTGGATGGAAAAGAAATGTGGATAGCGGACTTGGAGCGCTACAGAAGTGGCAGCTCCAATCGTGAAAGGAGCAGGGTCCGCGGTGGCACGCAGGTGAGAAGCAAAGCATCTTGGTCTGTTGTTGAAGTCTTTTGTTTATGAATTTGTATTTGGGTTTGTTTTGTGTAGTTTGGCATGACCTGGTTGGCCTTGCGTGCATACAAGGAGACTCAGCAGGAGCTTCGGCAGGTGAGGGCAGCGGTGGCATGCCATTAATTAACCTGTACAAGGTTTTCAGTCTTTGTTTGTCGTGTTGGACGGTTTGGGTTTCAGCTCACGTACACGCATACTCTGCTACTTGCGTCTAAGGCATCATCCAGCAGCAGCCTGAATCAAGAAGAGCGCCGAGAAGTGCTGAGGACTGTGAGCTCCTTGGCCAAGACGCTGGCAGAGGCGGTGCGGAGGCCATCGTCGAGCTGACCGGCCTGAGTGGCCTGCTGCGCGGAGGCCTTGACCCTTAAAGGCCAGCATAGCATCCGCTTTTGCAGCATCATTTGATTTTGATGGGCGGTGAATCCAGTCATGAGAGCAGACAACCAATCAAACATTGGTTCATTCATCCATAGTTCATTCATCGTCCTCACCGCTTTCGATCCCTTAGAGCCATCTACAACCCTCCATTGTCAAGATTGCAAAACTAGCGCGAGAACTGATTCCACTCCTTGAGCCTTATGCGGGCGGTCGCAAGCCCGGGCGGTTAGATGGCTATATGAGGTGATGTGGACTGTTTCACTCCAGCGTTTGAGCTGTAAACATGTGCGTGTTTGTGATGTATGAGGGACGTGTTTGGAGACAACAACATGTTAAACTCCACTCAGTTCGTGATCCTTCTTCATGGTTGGTATCACCCTTCATGCGGCACGCTTGCTTGCTGTAGTTTGCGTCCTCCTTGAACGTTGCATTTGTGTGTTCATGTCATTTGTAGACGCCTGTGCGTGATCGGTGCAGGAGTTCATGGATACGTGTCGTAGTTCTGCGAAACTTGTTAAGAGTTTGTTCTAGAGAGCTTGGATTGGTGCAGGTGCTGCTGCGCCGAGGGCCACAGGCAGGAGCGGGGTCGTTGTCGTTGGTTGTTGGTGGGGCACAGCTTGGTTGTTGTTGTTTTGTGCTTGAATGACACAATAAAAAGTTTGTTGCTTTGAAGTGTGCACATCGTTTGTCAATACGGTTTCAGTATGAAGAGGCTCCATTGCGGCCACACCAGAGGCCTCCAGCAACTCTTTGAATGTCTGTGGTTTTTGCGAAGGAGCTGTACACCCTTCTTGAAGATTGCCTTTGTGTGTTCATGTCCTTTGTAGACGCATTTGCTCGGCTGGTGCAGGTGTTTGTGGAGCCACAGGCAGGAGCACAGGCACGAGCGCAGCTTGTTTGTTGTTGTTGTTGTTGGATCTTGCTGAGTCATTGAGAGTAATTTGGATCTAGTTGCAAGGTTTTCCAGCTTGCATTCTTGTAGCGCTGTCCCTCAATCGCGATAAGAACAGTACTGTCACCAACTCGTCGAAGCCTTGGACACAACACCGTGGACTTTGTAAGGTCTTCGTAAGCCAAACACCCATCTTGAGTATTGCCTTTGTGTGTTGCTTCACGGGCTTTGTCGAGGGCCACAGGCAGGAGCGCAGCTTGTTGGTTGGTTGAAGGTGGTTGTTTGAGCTTTTGCTTGATGGTTGGTGGTTTGTTTGAGCTTTTGGTTGAAAGTAATTTGGATCCAGTTGACAAGTTTTCCAGCTTGAATTCTTTTCAGTGAACATGCAAAACATAAGGACTGTCCCTCAATCGCGATAAGAACAGCACTGTCGCCAAAAGCATCAAAACCTTTGAAAAAATGAATGTTGGTCCTGGTTGTCTGGGAAAAAATTGGCGAGAGTTTCCCCCGTGGGGGGACGCCCCATATCAAGGTCTGGTTTCGCAATCATTTAGGTTTTTGTGATCCCACAAAATTTTAAAATAGTTTTTTGTGGGTCACAAAAATCTAAATCAGAAAATTGTGCAATCACAAAAACTTCTTTTAAAAAACTATTCAGTTTTGTGAATGCACAATTTTCTGATTTAGATTTTTGTGACCCACAAAATTCTAATTGTGTTTTTTGTGACTCCACAACTCTACATTGAAGACCAATCACATAATTTCCCATACACTTCTTGGATTTGAGCTGATCCCAAAAGGACAAACCCTATTTTTTTATTGCGACATTCTTCTCATTGATCTCACGCGAGCATATTGCCCAGCCTGATCTGCGTGTGTTTCTGGCACTGTACTGCGTTGGAGGTGACTTTTGCATGCCTTTTGACGTCCAAAA